TTGAACTCTACTTAAAACCCACAGTATGGTGGAGTTATGTAGTAGTATCCCAAAAGATTGGCTACTTTCAGAATTTATTACCTTACCAAAGAAACAGGGAGCAAAAAAGTGCGGAGAATATAGGCTAATAAGTCTAATGAGCCATACATTAAAACTTTTTCTTAAAATTATACATCGTAGAATATACAAGCTATGCGAAGAGAGAATACAAGACACACAGTTTGGATTCATGAAAGGCGTAGGTACAAGAGATGCACTGTTTAGTCTACAAGTATTATTTCAAAGATGCAGAGATATGACTTGCGATATTTACACCTGCTTTGTGGACTACCAAAAAGCATTTGATACAGTTCAACACCAAAAAATGATGGATATTCTAACAAAAGCCCAAATGGATGATAAAGATCGGCGTATAATACAAAATTTATACTGGAACCAATCAGCCACAATAAGAACGAATTTTGGAGGTGAACCAACGGAAATGATCCAGATTCTACGAGGCGTTAGACAAGGTTGTATACTTTCACCTATATTATTTAATCTATATTCAGTGGAAATATTTAGTGAAGCCTTGGAAAAATGCGAACATAGAATACTTCTAAATGGAGAACGCCTAAACAACATTCGTTATGCAGACGACACCGTTATTTTTGCAGACAGTTTGAACGGTTTACAGCAACTAATAAACAAAGTAAATGAAGTAAGTGAAACATTTTGACTTCAAGTAAATATAACAAAAACTAAATTTATGATCATCAGCAAAAATAAAGTTAGAGACGCTCAACTACTTATCAATAATACACCAGTGGACCGAGTAAAACAGTATAACTATCTTGGAACAACAGTAAATGAACAATGGGATCACTCACAGGAAATAAAATGTAGAATAGAGAAGGCTAGGAGTGCATTCAATAACATGGCCAAACTCTTTAAAAGCCACAATCTTAATCTGGAGATAAAAGTAAGGCTCCTACGATGTTATATCTTCTCAATATTGTATTACGGAGTTGAATCCTGGACACTAACTGAAGCAATGGAGAAAAAACTTGAAGCCTTCGAGATGTGGCTATACAGGCGAATTCTAAGGATATCATGGACAGACAAGATAACCAACGAGACCGTATTACGAAGAGTGGGCAAAGAAAGAGAGGTGATGTATACCATTAAAAGGAGAAAGTTGGAATATCTCGGACATATAATGAGAAACAGCACTAAATACAGATTACTGAAGGTAATCCTACAGGGTAAAGTATTCGGAAAGCGAGGAATTGGGAGAAGGAGAATATCATGGTTGAAGAACCTGAGGAAATGGTTTTCCACAACAACAACGAATCTATTTAAAGCATCAGTCAATAAAATAATTATAGCCAGAATGATTGCTAATATTCGGAACGAATAGGCACTGAAAGAAGAAGATGTAGTAGATGTATTCTCAATATGGTCTCATGGATCAGTGTTGTTAAATACATTCCTGAAAGATACAAACGATAACGAAGAGACAATAACATTTACCACGGAAAAGGAATATAATAACACACTACCTTTCCTGTATGTTTTAATCTTTAAGAACGGCAGTGGATATGAGATTCAGGTGTATAGAAAACTAACACGCATCAACAGATATTTAAATTACAAGTCAAATCACAAGATGTTAAATTTCATATCTCTAGATGTCCTGGTAAAATTTGATTTCAAAATGCTTTCAATAATAAATTATCTTTAAAAAATATATCTCATATATTTTTATATATTACATTTAAAATTCAGCTCTTGCATTTTTTTTATTCTCTTTAGCTGAACTACCAAAAGTAAAATAAAACCTACGGACAATTTTGGGTTTTTTTACTATACCCTTTAAGAGCAATTCTATGTGGATCTCTCTAATAAGGAATGACTGGGAGGATTTTATCATAGCACTGGTTCTGGACCAAAGTAGAAGTCTCTGTAAATTGTGTGTGTGTGTAAAAACACCATAAGAGATTTCTCAAAAAAGCACAACAACTGCCAAAGATACACTTATATTGACAAAGCTGTACTCAACTGCCCGTATAAATAGGAATAACTCTGTTTTTGCTGCTAGTGTCCAAAACTCCTTTCCCCGAGTCTAACGCAGGTGCCGCACTCACCGATAAGATAATCCCATATTTGTAAATTTAAATTAACAATTGGAATTTGCTTATTCTACTCGAATTACACTAAAGTATTTCTCTTCGAAGATTTTTAGACGCAATTCTAAGTTTTTTTTTTGAGTATTGGTAAGATGCAAATTAAAACCTCTTAGCAATTTTTTGATGATATGCTAAGTGGGAAAAAATGCTACAATATGACCAATTTCAATTTAAAGAATTCTCGCGGCTTGTTAATGTACTGACTATGAAGTGAGTCTAAATGGCTTCTCAGTTTATTAGGTTTTATACTTTTATTTATATTTATCGTAGGTTTAAATACCATGGGAAATAAGGAAAAAAAAATAAAAAGAGTTAATTTACAAAAAATAGAATTTTATCTCTATAATAATTATGGAGACATGACGCTACTGAAATTGATTTGAGTGTTTATTATTATTATTTGATTATCAGCCAACAGTATGAATTAGACGATAAAAGCTTTTTTATTCAATTATGGACTTTTTCCAAACATGAGTTTTTACTTTGATGTAGTTTAAATGAAACACTAAACACTTATTTAAATCAGAACAATAAATTCACTTTATGATCGAGTAGGCCGAAAATAATAAAATACTTGTGCAAGAATTTAATTGTCAAAAAGCGCTGGAAAAAACACTTTGTAGCTTTTTAAACCCATTTTTTATTTGATTTTACAGGTTTTGACAAAAAACTTTCAATAAACACAATGAAGAAACCGAAATATCAGAAAACAATTTGCAGGTCAATAACTATTGTAGTTTTCATTGTAAGACAATTAACGAAAAAATATAGGAGTACAGAAACAAACGCATATATTCAAACGTGTTCTACGCTCCTTGTTTGATCGTTCGTCTTTCGTTATTTTTGTAGAATATGCCATATATAGCTGTGTTCTATCTAATCATTTGAAACTTTTTTTCAATGAATCGAATTTCTCTACACGTTTGCATCTTTCTAAGTAACCTCGTACGTATTGTCTCAACATATCGTCGTGCAGCTAATGATAGGATGGATGCAGTGTTTTTTATCTGTAGACATTCCGTGTCAGGCAGATTTCTGGTATAGACATACATAGTTCAGTGTTAATTCTGTTTGTCGAAAGAATATCCCAAAATATTGTGTAGTTTCAATGACTGGACCTTAACCTTAAACTCCTTCTACATGTTTTTTTCGTCATCTTTGTCGTGTGTTTGAGTAGAAAATAAATATACGAGCAATAGAAAACTTGAGCAGAATATGAAGTAACTCAAAAGGTGCTGCGGTGAGTGCTGCATCAGAATAGAGATTTGTGAGAGTAGAAATCAGTATAAAAACATGAGTAAAACATAGTGACCAATTTTATGTGATAGGTAGAGAGTTTGCGTGAAGGCTGAGCGCTAGGTCATTATCTATTATCATTAGTGTTAAATTAGATCAAAAGAAATTAAAATAATAACTGGAATACTGGAGATATGCTGTAAAATAAGGATTAAAATTTAACAACACGGACAATATTGTAACTTTGGAGATATGCTGTAAAATAAGGATTAAAATTTAACAACACGGACAATATTGTAACTTTGGATGGTGAAATGATTGTGGAAAATAATATTTGTAGGTATCTAGAATAGGTACTCCTCAGAAATCAAGCGTAGATTAGCAACAGCCAGTCAGAACACTTTAAGTTTTAATTCGTGTATTTCAAATTTCATTTAATTCAGAAAGCAGTAACTTTTATATGACCCTGTAGACCTTAAAGTTAGTAATCTGTACAGTTTCTAATTAGTCCAATCATCAGAGCAACGTGACCTCGTTCATTTGGTGTGCCTCAAACACTGTCCATAGTTTAAGCTACCGGTTTATATTACCCGTTTAGTTGCCGTAGTAGAAGGCTAAAGATCTCCAATACAATGGGCAGACCAAATGAAGACTGCGGTGGGAAAGTCCCTAAATGGAACTGTCTATCTTGTACAGGATCGCAGCCGATGGTGATAGCGAGCTCAAGCTAACAGGCTCAAGGAACTAGAAGGAGGATGATGGGTACTAGAGAGCAGTATGAGAGACAACTGATAATTTTAAATCAACACATATTTTTAATATTATTGTATATTTAAATGGATTTGTTTATAAATGCAATAAAAGTTTCATATCTAGCTAAATTAGACAAAACTATTTTACTAATTTCTATTTTGAAAATGATTATGCTCATGCCTTTATTTAATGCAGTTACTGCGACATTCAAAAAAATGTACGTACATATCATGTTGACACCGTAACAAAAAATTTCCTCTAATATGGTTTTATTTTTGCTCCACAAACGAGTGTATATGTAGTTCGTTTGTGAGATTTCACACATTTTTTAAAACACAAATTTTGCGCATCGTTTTTAGCTTGTCGATTGGAATGAAGATGTATAGCATAATCAGTTGAAAAAAAAAACGATATGACATCATTTTTACCATTCTACAGAAATACGTAATAAGGCAATGGTAAAAACAAATGATAACGAGATATTCGTATAGAAAAGTATATTTTTCAAAGTACGTGCGCTGGTAATATACAAGGGTCGACATAACTCAGTTAATGCTGTGGAAATTAAAGCACAGTTAGTTTATAGTATTGTGTGTCACTGTGTTCTGACAACATAAATACAAACATAATTTTAAAATATCGATATTAATGTTCAAGATTTTGGCTGAATATCTACTGATAGCAGAAATATTTAGCATAGTTGTTTATAGCATTTACGTTTTGTAACCTTTTATGGAAATATCACGACATAAATAAAAATAATGAACATTTTACTTATGTTTCGATTTTCAGCTCAAAATCTGTTATCAAAAAACTTTAAAGAAAAATAAAGCATGTACTCACTGGTTTATCACCGGATCCTAATAGTGGAGAATGGGCCTGCAACAATAAAAAATATTGATAACAACATTATATTAATTAATTAAGAAGATGTTGATTATTAAGAGATACATAGTTAGCACTTAAAAAAAACAAAAGATATATATATATATATATATATATATATATATATATATATATATATATATATATATATATATATATATATATATATATATATTGTTATATGTAAAATCGAGAAAAATATTGGTTTGCTTAAAATATTTCAAAGTACAAAAAATTAAAATAATTCAGATAAGTCGAATAATAAACTACAAACATTTCGAAGAATGAAAGTCCATTATTTTTGGATTACCTATATTGAACAAAAAGTAAGATATGCATAAATTATTTTCTTTGTTAAAATATATTTGAGTGACGTGAACGAGCTTAAGTGACATCCTAGACAATGGAAGCGGGTTTTCCAAATAAATTTGTGCAGTAATTAGGACAATAGAATAGATTTTAGAAAGATATGTTTTTGTTAGTTCATAAGAATTGGTAGAAAAAGATTAGTTTGTAAATAATGTTCGGAAATTTTATAATTGTAGGTAAAAATTTGTTTGTGTTATCGAATTGAAGAAATGGGAGATGTATGACACGTTTTGATTGGATGAGATTGAAAAAGGTGGGATGGTTGGTTTGAGAATGAGACTTTAGTTAGTTTTTGAAGAAAAAAAGATAGTCAGTGGTTTCCAAGGGTGCAAGACGAACGGCCGTTGTTCTCGGGTAGTTTCCCAGAGGTAGGAAGCAGTAGCAGTGAAAGTTTGTGAGTTTTCGTGTAGTTAGTGTATCTGACAGAAGCTGATCCAGTAAAAGATTGTAAGTCATATTTTTCTACTTATATTCCAAGAGTCACTGTTCAGGCCAACGAGAGATTCAGTTTATCGTAAAGAGAAGATATTCCAAGAGTCATTTTTCACTCAGGACAACGATTCAGTTTATCGAGAGGAGAAGAGGCTAGCATAATTTGAACGATTCGTGCATTTGAAGGAGATCATTAAGGACGATAAACTTGCAACAATTTGTTGTAAGATTGCTGATTACCTAGGGAGCTGTTAAGAATAGATAGCATAGGCTACAAGGAACAAGGATTTGGACCACTCATCATCAGAGAGAGATAGTTTTGTTTTTCTGCAATTTTTCTTTTATTGATAACACAATTTTTACAATTACGTTAGAAAAGATATAAATATTTTGATTAGGAGATTTAGAATAATAATTGGGATTTTGAGATTTTAACTAATATTGTTTGTACCAATAATTTTGAAGGTTCACGTACGTAGAACAAAATTTTGAGAATCTATTATATAATGTTTATATCATATATGTTTTTTATTATTCCGGTATTCTTTGGATCTTACCTTTCACATGTAAAGCATAGACATTGAAGCACGAATATAACCCTGAGATAAGAGAATTAAAAAGTGTGATAGAATCATAATCATATCATTTAAATAATTTTAATTAATTAATTAATTAATTAGCTAATTCATAATATCACAATAATATATATATATATATATATATATATATATATATATATATATATATATATATATATATATATATATATATATATATATAGATAATATTAAATATCAGATAAAGGAAGGCAATCAAAATGTTTAAAAACCTAGAATGAACTTTAATGGCGATTAAAGACGTAATTTATGAGTACTACTATACTAGAGAATATTATAAAAAGTATTTATATGAGGGCATCCTTAAGAAATTAACATAATAGTTTGTTTAACAAGTTTTTTATTTTGTAATGTATTTGGTTATTTTGATAGTTATGATATTATAAATAGATTAAAATGAGTAAATTTGTTATATTGGGACATTTTGTGAATGAAAGTGATATCGGATAGCGAATCCAGGTGAAATTGAACAGAAAGTACAGGAAGTGGACATTTGAAATAATAATTATGGATTAAAATAGTGTTATTTACTAATTTAAGATGTTTAATTTATATATAAGTTTTCATTCTGATAGGAAAAGCCTAAATTTCCATAAAAATTCTAAATAGAAAGAAAAGAACTTTCTAGAAGTTTAAAAATAAAACGTCAAAATATATAAAAAAATCAAAACAACAATAACAAAATATATCAAAATAAGAAAGAATCTAACCTCTTTTCTTTCGAGAATTTTCGCGAACATTGAAGTATCTATAAATACACTGTCACTTTGAGCGTAAAGAAGATTAAAATTAAGAAGTCAAACTTTCATAATTCATTTTTGGAAAAAGTCAAGTTTTTGTTAAATTTTCATAGAAAAGAAATCAAACAAACAATAATATATAAATTGTTATAATAAATAAAAAGTTTTACTCCAGTACAAAATTTAATAAGTGGTCTATTTTGGAAAGTAATTTCATAAAAAGAAGAATAACCAGAGGTTGATAACTGAGACATTGAGTAGCGATTAAAACCTTTATTTTGGAAAAATATTTTCTTTTAGGCATTCAGTGACAGAAAGGTACCAAATTTTGTTAGTATAATTTAATTATTGTAATAAGAACTCCAGTTTAAAGATAGGTTGTTTTAAATTTATTTTTAAATATTGTCTGAATTAGATATATACGTTTGTTTCCTGATAGTTGTAATAAAGATAATTTTAAAAGAACATACAAACTAATTCATGAATTCACATTTATACATGAAAACATGTATAAATGTTTTGCTAAGGATTGTCACAATCAATACCACAAAAGTGTTAAGTTTAATTAGCTTTTAATCAACTAGTGGTAATCAACACTATTGCTAAAATACCGAGTGAAATTACCGAATATTTCACCTACTATAAGGCCATTTATACAAAGGACATTGCTTGCCATTGATTGAATGTCGTTGTTACAAAGGGCTGTACGCTTGCACAGATCACTTTTCTGGTAAATGGTGAATGTGACATCAAACAATTAAAGCGATGCGTGGAGTGGATTAGTTCCACGTTGCCGAAAGCATATAGATACCTAAACATACATATAAAGAAAACAAGCAGGATTTAGCAAAAGAAAAATCTATATTGAAAGAGAAAACGTCTAGAGCTTGAAACGATTACAGGAGGTGAGAAATTTAGGAAATCATGAAGGTTTATTCGTAACGTAAGATCAGATCAAAGAGAATAACAACTATTCAGGAATATACCAATATCAATATGGAAAAAACATTAAAATTAACTCATAATAGAAAAATGAACAGAATATACTATACAACGCCATAATTTCATTGTGGCACGCGACACAAGTAATAAATCTAACAATAAAGCACTGATTTTTTTTAAACTTCCACAAAATATACACTGCGCGTCACAAAAAAGAGGCCACCTAAACTTTTTGCCATTTTTTAATTTTTACGAATGATACCACAGTACCAAGTGATTGTCATTAGATGTTTGTGTAATGTTAAGAATATGTTCTAAAGCAGTATGCAATCATTTTTTAAATAAAAAATTTCAAAAAATAACTTCTTCCAAAATAATGATTTTATTGAAAAATAAAAAAAAACATCGTACATTTTTTCTGTTTTCCTTATAAAATTACAATTAAGTCGTGATTATTAATACTGTGTATAACCACCTCTATTGTGAATTACACTATTCATTCGTTTTGCATTAGAATTGATCAAATTCTGGAGGCCGTTTTGAGGAAAAGCTTCCCATTCTTCCATGAGCGCTCTAACAGAAGTTCTGCTCAGCCGATTTTATCGGGTTCAAATCTGGACTTTGATCCGGCCAGTTCATTTTTGGCACACCGACAGTTTCCAGATATTGCGTTATCATCTTGGCCACGTGTAGCCGCGCATTGTCTTGTATAAAAATGAGGTTTTCGCCGACAAACCCAGCAAAAGGCATAACATGCTCGTCAGCAATTTCGGTAATGTATCGGTGTGCATTCAACGCTCCTCTATCAATAAATACGAGATCGATAGGCCCTCGAATGAAATGCCTGCCCAAAACATTACCATATTTAACCATATTACCTAATTATCATAAGTTTTTTCTTCTTAAAGTTTATATTGAGTCCATATTGTTGACTGTAATACGTAATTTTGTTTATAAGAACTTGTAGGTCTTCTAAGTTGTCCGCAAATACTATGGTGTCATCTACATATCTGATGTTGTTTAGCCGGTAACCATTTAGTAGAATACCTTTTCAGTTTCGTGCAAAGCTTCGATAAATATTTTTTCAGAGTACAGATTGAGATTAGACGAGACAAAATACAGCCTTGCTCACTCCATGCATGATTTTCACATAGTCAGTGTGTTCACTTTCAACTCTGAGATTTGCTGTCTGATTCCAGTAAAGATTTCTAATTATTTTCATCTTGTTTGTTAATTCTTGTTTCTTTTAGTATTTGCATGATCTTGGCGTGCTGTGCTCGATCAAACTCATTCTCGTAATTAACCAGACATGCGTATACGTCGCAGTTGACGTCTCTGCATCTCTGGAATAAGACTTGTACTGAGAACAAAGCCTCTGTATTACCAACAGCATTGGTGAACCCGAACTGGTTGGGGAAAATTTGAGTTTCACTTAACTTGTAGCTGTGAGCGATTTAGAATGGGCGATTTCTCTTATGAATTATCTTTAGGAACAATTTTAGGAGATGACTCATGAGGCTTATACACTCACCGGCAAAATTAACGGAACACCTTAAAATTGGGACATGTTAGATGTCTCGAATTTCCTAAACCTGTTGTCCGATTTTAGTGATTTTTTTAGTATGTTATAGGTATATTATTTAAGAATATCGATGTAATAATATTGTTGCTAGACAGGTCAATGTCATTTTATACCGGGTGTAACAATCCTACTGTGTTTTTTCCTTAAAGTTCGGAACACCCTGTGGAATATTCTAGCATATATAAAATATTGAAATTAAAACTTAATTATAGCCTCAGGCTTTCTTAACATTTTCTTTTTTGATTCATTTGCTTATGTTTGATAATAAAAAAGTTAGGTACGTTAACAATTAGCCATGTTTTTCATCAATAA